CATATGCAAAGCTTACATTGTCTAAAAAAATAAAAAGGTACAAGAGTACAAGCGACAAAAAAAGAAAAACTTCAAAAACTGAGATGATGCTTAACCGAAGTTAAGCCGAGATTATGATGATGCTTAAACCGAAGTTAAGCCGAGATGATGTTTAAACCGAAGTTAAAACGAAATGATGTTTAACATTTGTCGAAATTCTGAGAATGCACAAAGTTAAATGTCGGCAAAAGATTCGCCGGAGTTAAACGTCGTTTTGATTAGAACAGAACCACTAAGTGCACGCGCGGAAGTGGTGACCAGAATTGTGAAAGGAATAAATGTTTCAAGAAACAGCGATGATAGTTTGCAAAGGCCAAGAGAAAGAGGGTCTAAAGGGGGTGCATTAAATACCAGAAGTTTTAATACATTGGTGAAAGCAGAACACATCAGGTCTGTGACTACGGCACGAAGTCAACTTCCCTAATGTGTACAACTTATGTTCACATTAGGGGGTAGGGAGAAGGTGCAGGGGGAAGGAATGATAATTAAGGAGCAAGGAATGTTAACACTTGTTGAAATTTTTGAGCAAATTACAAGATGAGTTAACCGAAGATTATGAAGTCTACCACTTGTTGAAATTTGTAGCAATTTACAAGTTTGGTATAGCCGAGATAACACTGAAAGACGTTTCCGAGATATGATCATCCGAGATGACCAACTAGCTTGTTAAGAGCTGAGAAGGTTGGCAAGTACAAAAATGAAGACCTTAAAGAACTAGGGACTGAAAACAATAACGTCGGACTGATCTGCTTCGACGGACGACGATGGTTCAGCCTCGGCAGTCAGTCGGAGGAACTTTTCTACCGTTACCTCGGCATCAATTTCAAGAAAGAAGCAAACTACTCGGCATCAGCGACAGGTTGTGTCTCACCCCCAGAATACAGTTGGAAAGAACTTCTCAGTAGCCTTCTTAGCCACGAGCTCAGCATCAATCTCCTAAAGAGTTTGATCAAAGCTTTTCTCGGCGATTGTTGAAAGCAAGGATTGAAAGCAAAACTCTGGGAAAAGACACAGAAAACAGAAACAAGAATGTAATTCGTAAATCAAAAATGGTGATGAAGCTATCAGGAAATCAAGACAAAAAGATTGTACAGGTGTGTCAAGCCAAGAACAGTGGCAGAAATCAACAGATATGTGAACAGTGTATATTCAAAAAGATGATTTGGAAACAACGGGTAAAACAACAATGGTGGTTAACAATGAAACAAAGCAACAAGAAGTAAAACCAGGAGGAAAAGTGGCTTACCAGAAAGAGGGAAGCCGGAATGAGAATTGCCGAAGTCAGACGACAATGACAGAATGACGTAAAGCTTCACCGGAGGAGAGAAACGAAGACAGTTGCAGAAGCTTGAAAGCTTTAAGCAAAAGAGCTAGAAAGAGAAGAAGCCAGAGGATTAAATGAAAGAGAAAAATAGTCAAGAAGTCGACAAAGTTCAAGAATAAAGCCAAGTGCACAGGCACTAAGTAAGTATGTGAAGAACAAGAAAGTAATGAACCAAACATGATGCTAGCAACAGAAAGGGGATATGACAAAGAACAGTTCCAGGCATTTTAGCAATAAGAAATCAAAAACTTGAAGACAGACGAAAATAGAAGGCAATAGATGGCAAATAAACAGATTCAAAGTAAATCAGAAGAGTTATGAAAGATTGAGCTTAATAAAAAAGTAAGAGTTTATGAACCTACAAAGTGAAATGAACGCCAAAATGAAAATTGCCGGAGTCAAATAGGTGACTGGGAATCGGGAACTCACCAGAGAGTGTGAGTGGAGCAGTTGCAAAGCTCTTGGAGTTTACGAATTAATGGAACCAGAACCTCGGCTAGGAGGTGCGATTTTAAGCAGCTTGGAAAGCATGAAACTTAATTCTTGACACTAGTGGACAGCAAAGTCCAGGGAACTTTGAGGTCGGCGAGTTTGATCTCGGACAGAGGGGCACAGATGAACGAACAGTGTAGGTTCCATCACCTCAGAATAC